CCCAAGCGAGATCTGATGCTGACATGCAATGTTTCCCCATACATTACCGGGGTAATGTTGGCTCACTGATGGCCCAGTGGAGAAGAACGCCCAAGAGCATATGTTTCCCAGACTTTGGCTAATGCAAAGCGCAAATGTGCCCAGACAGAGAAAGAAGGTATGGCAGTCATCTTTGGTGTGAGAAAGTTCCACCAATACCTTTATGGATGTAAATTTGTAACAGTGACAGACCACAAACCCTTGCTAGGGCTTTCCAAAGAGGATAAGGCCATGCCGCCCATAGCTTCAGGCCGAATTCAGCAATGGGCTCTCATTCTAATTGTGTACAATTACACATTGGGACACCATTCAAGAAGTCAAGTAGCAAATGCGGATGCCCTGCGCCACCTCCTGCTGGCAGATATTCCACCAGTGGTGCCTCCCCTGGAGAAGTCTGTTCTGGCTTTAAACCTTCTGGGCACCCTTCCATTTACCACTGTCAATATCAGACTATGGACACAGAAAAATCCTGTCCTAGTGAAACTGAAACAGCTGATAATGATGGGGCATCTGGAAAGACCAAATCACAGTAGAGGACAGCATTTTCTAATGGGGAACAAGATTGATTGTCACAAATGAAGGACTCTGCCAGATGCTGGCGAGAAGTCATGCCTGGTGGCCAGGATTGGATCCAAACATAGCTGCACTGGTGGGAAGGCGCCCAGAGTGCCAAAGACAACAAAAATTACTGCCAGCAGCTCCCCTACATTCAAGGAAATGGCCAGGTAAACCCTGGACTCGGTTACACGTCGACTATGTCAGCCCTTACATGGGCTCAATGTTCTAAGTCATTGTGGACACCCACTCAAAGTGGCTGGACATGCATAAAGTTTGTTTGTCAAACATGCGAATGACAATAGAAAAGCTGCACAATTTTTTTGCGATACATGGACTCCCAGAAGTGTTAGTCACAGATAATGGGCCATCTTTAACCAGCAGGGAATCTGAATATTTCCCAAAGTCAAATGGCATTCGGCATATAAGGACGGCTCCATATCATCCATCATCCAATGGTCTGGCGGAAAGACCAGTCCAAATGTTGAAGACAGACTTAAAGAAACTGCCTACAGCTTCAATCAAGACAAAACTTTTCCTGTTCCTATTTGATTATTGGACCACCCCTCATGCAACTATAGGTATAGCTCCAGCACAGACTCTGCAGAGGTCAAATCTAATTTTCCTGGACCTGAGGATCAGGTGAAAATGCATCAGGAACCCTAATATCGACACAAGACTCCGCTAAGCAAGAGAGACAATTTACTTCAGAGGACAGAGTTTGATGTCAAAACCACAGAAATGGCCCTACATGGGCAAGAGGCATGGTCCATGCAAGGTCATGTCCCATGATATTCAAAGTTCAGGTAGGTGAGGTGTCCTGAACAAACACATAGACCATATGAAAGCTTCAAGCTCACAAACGGGGAACTGAAGAACGAATTTAGGAGAGCTGGAAGGGGGCATGAAAAAGCCTTGGCGGGTAGCATTAAGGAAAACCAAGGCATTCTATACTTATGTGAGGAACAAGAGAATGGCCTGAGTGAGGGAAGGGCTGATTGGGGATAGTGGAGGGAACTTGTGCCTGGAGTCAGGGGAAGTGGAGGAGGTCCTGAATGAATACTTTGCTTCAGTATTCACCAGTAGAGGGACCTTGTAGCTTGTGAGGAGAGCGTGAAACAGGCTGATATGCTCAAACAGGTTGATGATAGGAAGGAGGATGCGCTAGAAATTTTGAAAAACATGAGGATAAATAAGTCCCCTGGGCCAGATGAGATATACCCAAGGTTACTACGGGAAACAAGGGAAGAGATTACTGCGTCTTTGGCAATGATCTTTTTGTGTCGTCATTGTCCACTGGACTGGTATCAGGCGATTGGAGGATGGCAAATGTTATTCCCTTGATCAAGAAAGGGAACAGGGATAATCCTGGGAATTACAGACCAGTCAGTCATAACTCTGTGGTGGGCAAATTATTGGAGAGGATTCTGAGAGACAGTATTTATGATTATTTGGAAGAGCATAGTTTGATTGGAAATAGTCAGCATGACTTTGTGAGGGGCAGGTCATGCTTCACAAGCCTGATTGAATTCTTTGAGGATGTGACAAAATACATTGATGAAGGTCGAGCAGTGGATGTGGTGTATATGGATTTCAGCAAGGCATTTGATAAAGTTCCCCATGGTAGGCTCATTCAGAAAATAAGGAGGCATGGGATCCAGGGAAATTTGGCTGTCAAATTCTGGATACAGAATTGGCTGTCCAATAGAAGACAGAGGGTGGTAGTAGATGGAAAGTATTCAGCCTGGAGCTCGGTGATCAGTGGTGTTCCACAGGGATCTGTTCTGGGACCTCTGCTCTTTGTGATCTTTATAAATGACTTGGATGAGGAAGTGGAAGGGTGGGTTAGTAAGTTTGCCGATGACGCGAAGGTTGGTAGAGTTATGGATAGTGTAGAGGACAGTTGTAGGTTGCAATGGGACATTGACAGGATGCAGAGCTGGGCAAAGAAGTGGCAGATGGAATTCAACCCAGAAAAGCATGAAGTGATTCATTTTGGAAGGTTGAATTTGAATGCAGAATACAGGGTTAATGGCAGGATTCTTGGCAGTGTGGAGGAATTGTGGGATCTTGGGGTCTACATCCATAGATCCCTCAAAGTTGCCACCTAAGTCGATAGGGTTGTTAAGAAGGCGTATGGTGTGTTGGCTTTCATTGGCGGGGGATTGAATTTAAGAGCCACAAGGTTATGCTGCAGCTCTATAATACTCTGGTTAGACCACATTTGGAATATTGTGTTCAGTTCTGGTCACCTCATTATAGCAAAGATGTGGAAGCTTTAGAGAGGGTGCAGAGGAGATTTACCAGGATGATGCCTGGACTGGAGGGGAGGTCTTATGAGGAAAGGTTGAGGGAGGTAGGGCTTTTCTCATTGGAGCAAAGAAGGATGAGAGGTGACTTGATAGAGGTGTACAAGATGATGAGGGGCATAGATAGAATGGATAGCCAGAGGCTTTTTCCCAGGGCGGAAATGACTATCACGAGGGGGCATAATTTTAAGCTGATTAGAGGAAGGTATAGGGGAGATGTCAGAGGTGGGTTCTTCACACAGAGAGTGGTGGGTGCGTGGAATGCACTGCTGGTGGTGGTAGTGGAGTCAGATACATTAGGGACATTTAAACAACTCTTGGATAGGCACGTGGATGATAGTAAAATGTAGGGTATTCAGGGTAGTTTGATCTTAGAGTAGGATAATAGGTCAGCACAACATCATGGGCCAAAGAGCCTGTACTGTGCTGGACTGTTCTATGTTCCATGTTCTATGTTCCATCCCATAGGTACTTTCCCTCCTTCTAGTCTTGAAGAAACCTCAGAGTCTGAGATGGATACGGTGGATGTTGTAGCCTTGGACCCTTTACCACCAGAAGAAGAGATTAATTTCTTCTGAGACACTCTGGGTACAGGAGGTTTTGTATGGTCCAGTATATGCTGCCCATATCTGAGGCTAAATCAGAGGAACCAGACCCAGTGCAAAAACACCCCAAGAAGTGCTACTAGAAAAAGAAATGGCCTACGCCCCCCGAAATTAGAGGGTGAGCGATAGAGTGATTGTAACGAGATCATCCAGGTGGCCCCCATAGAATGAGTTCCCCGACTGGGGCTGTTAACCTTGTCCAATCAGGGAACCCTGGTTGACAGATATAAACAGGATATCAATGTTTGAATTTCAGTATTAATGGTATAATAGCAAGGATTTATGTGATTAAAACTGCTAATAAAGTGAATAGTAGGATGATATTAACAGATTTCAGGAGAACATGAACAGACTGGTGAAATGGGTATCCATGTAGATGAACCTTAATTTGATTTGAAATTACATGTTCTCAAAGGAAGAAAAAGATGATACAATTAGTAATTATACAGTGCAAAATCTTAAAGGAGGTGCTGGAGTAGAAACCTGGAGTTGCGTGTGCAGATATGTTTGAAGGTGGTACAGCAAATTGAAGGTTGTTAAAGAACCAAAGTGTTGGTCCAAAGTTTACAGTTTTATAAATAGTGTAAGCAATTACAGAATAAAGGAAATTAAACTCAACTTTTATAAGACACAGGTTAGGACCCAGCAATCATATCGAGTTCACATCAGAAAACGATGAAAGAATGCGAAGAGGAAATTTAATAGCAATGTTCAGACTCATAAGGGGATTTTGATAATTTCTCCTACTTCCTCCATTTCCAGTACAGGAGAGTCTATAAACACAGGACATGATTTAAAGTAATTGGCAAAGGTCCAGACAGGAGATGGTAAAAAAATCTTTATATACAGTGACTTGTTGTGTTCTGGAAAGTACCATCTGAATGGATATTGATTCAGTTGGAATATTAAATTGGGAAATGTACAACTACTTGAGAAAGGAGATCTGTAGAATTATCAGTAAAGGTGCATAGAATGGGATCAATCAGATTGATCATCAAAGGGACAGTACAAGCACCAAATAATTCTATGATGGAATGTTCTATGATTAGGCCCCAGCTTGTAGCTAAACACAAGACCCACCCCACGCCTAACCCCAACCCAGCCCAAGTATCCAGTGTTTCACACACAAACCCTGCAATTCCTCTGATTAAATTTCAGCCTTTAATTTACACTTAATGAACAATATTTCTTTGTTTTGTGATTCAGTGCCATTTTACTTGCTGACACACTCTTGTAGAGAAACGTCGAAAGATTTACAGCAGAGAAGTAAGCTGTTCATACTAATGAATCCGGGCTGGCTGGAAAACAGTTAAACAGTTTAATCGAACATTCCAAGTCCTGTTCTATTGTCCTGGTGGTTATGTGGCCTTGAGTGCATTTCCAGCTGCTTTTTTAATGCAACATTCAGGGAATGAGTTCCCGATTCCCGCCACCCTCTGGTTGAAAATCAAAACTCCTTAAACATTTACGGTGAATACATTGTAACTTCTACCTTGGCATTGCCAAATGGAATCAGCGAGATATTCATAATGTCTTCCAGCCTCAACCACGTTGGGCACAGTTGGTTCATCATGAAATGACGACAGTCTGGGCAGTAAGTCTCGTAGAATAAACTGAGCTGCACAGGCGACAATAACCTGGTTTTAGCAGTTACACACCTGCTCTCAACCTAGACAGCATAAGACAAAGACTTAATGAGATTTTGTATCGGCGTTTATAAGAGGTGGGATGTAATTCACACATAAACAGTTAATAATCCTGGCCCTGATATACTTTGGGTCCCGATCACCAGCACTTGGGCATTTCAGTAGCCCTTAAATGGCAGATTATGAAAAGTGACACAAACATTTCTGACTTCATTGGTGCACAAGTCATGAACACAATTACAACCAGCAAAAAGTCAATCCACTCACAGCCCAAAGAGACAGGACAATTGCCAACTGCACATGAAGCTTCATCCTGAGAGTCTGGTCCAAATTCTGACTCTATTTCAAATGTGTTTGGTGTCTATTTAAATACTGGTAATGATTACTTCACAGTTACTGATAGAAACCACATTAACCCTGAAATAATCCTAGTCAAAATGCTCCAGTGTCATTACACAATGAGGAGACAGTAGTATCGTGGCCTTATCACTGGGAAAGTAACCCTGAACTCCTCAAGCTAACATACTGGGAACACAGGGTTACATCTTGTTCATTGCAGGTGGAGAATTGTGAATTTAAATAAAAAACAAAGTCTGGAATTTAAAGCTAGTCTAATGATGATAGTGAGCTATTGTCAATTGTTGTAAAAACAAATGTGACTCACTAATGTCCTTCAGGGAAGGCAAACTGCAATTCTTACATGGTCTGACCCACATGTGACTCCACACCTACAGCAACGTGCTTGACTTAAGTGCTGTTTACACAATAAAGTCATATCCCACGACAAAAAGGAATTCCTTCAGCATGGTACATTGGGCTGGTTAAAGCAGAGATTTTATGGTCTTCCCGGTGGCAGTAAAATCAGGCACAATTTGAGGCAGAGGCACTATGTCCACCACTTTCCCACCTCTGTGGCAATTTTATCATATTTGGGGTGTGTCAAGGAGCCCAATTACCTGTAGACCTTTAAGTAATAATTAATGGTCACTTAAGGACCTCCTCATGCTGCAGGGATTTTATCCATGACTGAGGATATTCACTGTCTGCCCTGCATGGGAAAACTTGGGCAGACTGCTAGCCAGATAATGGGAAGAGCTACCTCCTGTTTCAGTGCTTTTTTCCCATCAGGGGCACCTTCAACATGTGCCCATCCATATGATTCCCCTATGTTAGACCTGTCATCCTAGGTCTTGGAACCCCTCTGTTGGCGTCAGTTAGACTGGCTCCCAAGAGACCTCAGCCTCTGCCTGGGCTCCTGATTCCTCTTCTTCACCCAGTAGGTGGCGGCATTCTCACAAGTGATGCTGGAACAACAGAGCAGCTCCTGGACGCAGCACCTTCTCCCAGATGAAAGTGGAAAGCAGAGGCCAGCAAGTCACTGGCTTTGTTTTTTCCAGCTGCTGTGTAGACCTCAGAACGTCATGCGTGGCAGTGGATGGGGAAATCATGTGTGAATGTGTCAGCTTGACAAATTGTGTGAACAGACCCTCAGCAGCTTAGTGAGGATGTTAGCCCCCAGCATAATAATTAGATCAGAGCAGATAGGAGATGCTCTGGAAAGAATAGCGTAATCTTCCTTAAATATGCAAAATACACCAAAGAATTACAAAATATTTGCAGAAAGGAAGCAGGTTACTCTGCTTCTTTAACAATTAGAGCCCAGAAATCTTTTTATATCCAGAAGTGCTTTTACGTAACCTGAATGTTTGTTCCCACCACTGAAGCACCGTGTTACTTTCCATCTATTATCCACCACCAACAAATCGCCTGTGTTTCTAATTCATTAATTTACATGAAAGACCAGCAAGCAAGGACCATGTGTAGCACAGTGTTAGTGTCTCAAGCCCTGAGACCAGCAGCCTAGGTTCAAGGTGTTCTCAAGGAGAGTAATAACTTCCCTGAATAGGCTGACTGTAAAGTCTGTCCAGAGCAGTAACTATTCTGTCTTATAATGTTTATGCATCACAAAAGCCCTCTCACATCCGATCAGGGTAATTTTCTATTTCTTTCTCCCGAATATGTTTATATAGTGCATTCTTAAATACATTGATCATACTTGATCTGACATTAATCAAACTTGCCTGAAACAATCACCGTGGCAGCAAGTTATACATTCTCACCATACTCTGGCTGAAGATGTTTCTCTAGAATGCTTGATAGGCTTGAAATGCAGAGTGAAAGTTTCAAACTCAAAGATGTAACTAGTCATCTTACATCAGTACTGATGTAATACATCACAAGGTTGTCAACCCTGGAAGAGATGATGCTGTGTTCAGCTTTGTGTTAAACTCAACAATGTAAGTAATTACCATTATGTTGAGTAAAAAGATATTCCTACCAACAGCCTAGACTCAGCTCTCTCTCATACCCCACCCACGACAACCTCTTCCAAGATTTGTTCCATGATAAGAGACTGCCTGCCTCATTTTTATGGCCCCTAGCTCTGAACTTGTGCAGCCATTTTAAAGACCTTTCGAGCTTCTCATTTCAAGAGAAAAGAACCTCATGTGCAATCTTCCTAATTATTGGTTTTGTTCAGTTCTGATCTCATCCCTGTAAATCTTTCAAACACACATTCTCCAACACTTGTGGACTCTTTATGTAATAAGAACTGCACATGATATTACAAATGAGGTCTGCCCATGTAACAAATGAAAGACCCTGGTTGGAGAAGAGATAGCAAAATGAGTCACATTGTGGCACATATAGATTTGAAAATAAATTTGATGAGGTGTCTCTTGTATGAAAATGTCAAGCTGTTGGTTTAACAAAAAATACAGCTGCGTGAAAGGGAATTTGCCTGAGGCAGTGTAGGGAGTTCTTGTCTGTGCGATTGGTAACCCTGCTAGAACCCTCAGGCAGCCTGGGTCACCCACCAGGTCCCTGGTTCTGACACTGGACTTTGGTTAGTGAATGTGGAGTAGTAAATCAGGAAGCAAGTGTTTCAGGGGTAAAAGAGTCTCTACTTTATTAAAATAACAGATTGAACATATATGTTTATAGAAAAAAAGAAAAAGTGAATATAACACAAGAAACAAAGGGCAGATTAACAGTGAAAATTTACTCTATTGGTTACAGATGCTAGAACTAAACAATGTCCTGTCTGCTTAATATAGGTTAATTTACTGCAATACACTGAAACAGTTGTTTGAACTCAGGTACTCAATCAATTAAAGTAACTTTAATCCCAGACCCTTACTCCATTTACCTCGCCTTGGGATGCCCTGCACCATCACTGAACCACACCCCCCACCACCCCCCACCCCCGGCCCTCCCTGTTATTAGGTTGGATTTTTAGGGCCTCAATGAAATTAAGCTAAGAAAATGCGACAGTGGATATCTGAGCTCCAGTTGGCACTGGCACTCTCAGATGTCTCCGATTGTCAGGTCTTTTGTCGTCAATTGGAAATGGCTGTGAATCGTTTCTGCGCGGGGGTGTCCTCCCGTTGTGGTTATGAAAGTCTTTTCTTCTTCCATTGAACACTGCAGAGGAACTCTCTCTGGGACAGTGTGGTCCTGCTGCAATATGCAATTTCAAGTCCGTTAACAGCCCACCAAATCTAGTTTCTTGTACTGGTTTTTGTTGCTCCCTTAAGAGATGAATTAGCCTTCCTGATTAATAGAGTAAGTGCAAATGTCTTCGCCATTGGTGAAGAATAAATTAAATGTCCGGTATTAGTGTAGGTTCTGAGTTAGTCTGAGACTTTGTTTACAGGTTGGATTGCTCTATCTAATGGATTACTCTCTCAAAACTGAGGTGTGAATTCCATTCTCTGTTTAACAATAGTTCCAGGCAGTTCTCTCTCTCTCTGTCTATCTGTGTTCTTCCCAAACCACAGTTCAGCTGCCCCTTTAAAGTATTTTATTTTTAAGTCCAAGGTTTGGTCCAGTGTTTGTAAATGATAGAGTAATTTTAAAGTCTAGTATTTTAAAAATGTTAGAATTTTTGCTCAATCCTACAGCACAGGTACCTTTGGGAGAGGTGTGTATCTTCCGATAAAAGCGCTGTGTCAATTCACCAAGGCTGCTTCCACATCACCTTGTGAGACAAAGAAACTATAGATGCTGGAATCCAAGGTAGACAAGCAGGAGGCTGGAAGAACAAACACCCCTCTCTGCCTTCCGCAAGGACCATTCCCTTTGCTGCTCCTTAGTTTGCGCCACACTCCCCACCAACCATTCCAACCCGCCTGGTACCTTCCCCTGTAACTGTAAAAGATGCAACACCAGCCCACACACCACCTCCCTCACCTCCATCCAGGGCCCTAAACAATCCTTCCAGGTGAGATGGAGCTTCACCTGCATCTTCTCCAAAATAGTCTATTGCATCTGGTGCTCACGATGTGGTCCTCTCTACGTCGGTGAGACCAAACAGACAAGGTGACTGTTTCGCCGAGCATCTCCACCTGGCCCATAACGGTCAACCTAACCTCCCGGTCACCACCCATTTCATCTCCCACCCACTCCCACTCCCCACTCTGACATGGCTGTCCTCAGCCTCCTCCAGTGTCGCAGCGACTCGGAACACAAGTTTGAAGAACAACACCGTATCTTCTGCCTTGGCACGCTACAGCTGGGGGAACTCAACATTGAGTTCTCCAATTTCAAATAACCTTCCCACCCATCCCCCGGCTCCCTTTCCAGCCCCACCTCCTCCCTTCCATTCCACCTTCTGACCCTCCCTTCCAGCTACCAACTGGATTCATCCCTCCCATCAACCAACCAGGTCGTACTTATCACCACTGTCTACCATTCCACCTCCAACCTTTTCCCACTCCCCTTTTATCTGCACCTTCCCCTACTCCCACATCCAGTCCTGAAGAAGGGTAATACCCAAAACATTGATTGCTCCTTTCCTCCAGATGCTGCCTGGCCTGCTGTATTTTTCCAGCTTCCTGTTTGTCTGCCTCGACATCACCTTGGATTGATTCTTGCCAATGGTGGTGTTCCAATGTAGCCATTGCCTTATTAAAGATCTTTAATAACAATAAACTTGGTACTTTTTTAACACCTGCATCAGTCTTATACATTATTTTAAAGAAAAAGAGAAAAAAATAACTGTAGAACTAAACACAAACTAATTTTACCTTAAAGATTCGAAATACACATCAATTCTACTCACCATCAGCTGCTTTCCTTGCTGTCATGTCATATTGTGATTCATGACATTACTCCACCAATGGTCTCACTGTAGGTTGGCGTCTTGATCCACACTTTTATCCCCTCTGACTCACCTCTTCCTCTGGTCTCTGGCCTCTCAACACACTTCTCCAGCTCAGTGATCACTGTGGAAATTATAATTCTTCTTGCAGCAAGCCTTCCTCAGAGCATC